ATGGCTGCTTGCCGCGGGCGGTGTGTGCGGAGTTTTTTTTTGTGTGTGCATATGCTTGGTGCGGTGAGGTGAATAGCCGTAGTATGCTTGGTTTGCATGAGTCGCGACTATTTGAGTTTCCTTGGCAAAACGCTTAAAGCGAAAGCCACTTGAAATGCGGTTGGCTTAATATTGCTTATTTTGTCGTTTTATTTATTTTAATTAATTTTTTTATTTTAATTAAAAATTTTGGGAGGCTAGGCCTCGATTTTGAGCGGCATTGGCAAAATTTTATTTTGACAAGTTTGGGTGCTACCGACTTAATTAATTGGATTAATTAAGGGAAATGCGGAATTTAGTGGGAGCTTCAATTAATTAATGACGTCAAATTACATAATCGGTTAAATAACTTTGACTAGTTTTAATTAGGCGTGTTAATAGAATTAACCACCTAGATTAGTTACTAGTGCGCGCGCGTTGTTTAAATGCATTTTACTTGTTTGATATTGTAAATTGCATGGGCCATTCACAAATAGTGAATGGATGAATGGAATATATATTCTCTCTCACAGGTTTTATGAAATGGCAACTAGTGGGACCCGATTAGGATAGAAAATATGGACTACGTGCCGTTATGTATTTTTGTAAATCTAAATACGGTCTACGCACCGTTAAGTATTTTTGTACCTTAATATTTAGATTAATCCTAGTCGTAGACACTAGTATTTGCATAGTTTGGTTAAGTCTTGAAGACGGCGTATCTTGGAAGACAAAGCCTTGAATTGCAAATGAAGACCTTTTGAAGATTTGAAGAATTCAAGGGGTCGTGCTAGTTGCCAATATGCATCTATAATTTTGCTTTATATTTTATGCTTATATACATGTGAATTATCCGTTAGATGCATATTTAGGTTTTCTCTATGTTGCGATGATTAGTTAAGTTCACTTAAATCAACCACCATTGAATTCCTAGGTCCCTAATAATATTGATTCAAACTTGCCTTTCCAAAACAACACTTACCAACCGAACGTGGGTGATGGTAGGCTACGCCAAAGTGAGGTGCCATCACTTCTCCAAGGCTCATAAGGCATACCGGGTGTGCACGTTGGTTTTGGTTTAACTCATCGGTATGAGTGAGGAGTCCTCACATACCGTGGCAAAAGAGATACATCGTCAAAGATGCATTAGATGCGACGATTGTCTAACCAAGAGTGGCTTAGAGCCATTAGCAAGGCAATGCTTACCCTAGAAGATTGAGTGTTAAGACAAGACAAAGCATGCTTAACCACTCTTTGTTTTTTCGGATCTTGGAATCGCCTTATTTTCACAAAATAGGGACAATTTTACGTGTAAATAAGTCGTTAAATAAGTATTGAAAATTTGCATGAATAAAATTCAATCTTATTTAAGTAATTTTGAATGGTTTTTCATTAAAATTCTTTCAATTGTAGAATCATGTCTTCAACCTCAAACAACCAGTTTTCATTACGCTCAATTCTCGACAAGGAGAAGTTGAGTGGTACAAATTTCCTTGATTGGCAAAGGAATTTGCGCATCGTTCTTATGCAAGAACAGAAAGAGTATGTCCTTAATGAGGAAATGCCCGAGGCTCCCAATGAGGAGGTAACTCAAGCATCCCATAACCGATAGCAAGTAGCCGATCGGGATGTCAAGTGCGTAATGCTAGCCACTATGTCTCCTGAACTTCAGAAAACCTTCTTCGAGAAGGAATCAGCCTATGAGATTATTTCTGAGTTACAGAATATGTTTCAAGAACAGGCTCGAACTGAAAGGTTTGAAACCCACAGGCATATCCTTGAGACTAAGCTCAAGAAAGGAGAGCTAGTCAGCCCACATGTGCTCAAAATGATCGGATTATTTGAGAACATGGGAAGGCTTGATGCGGGGTATTCAACTGAAATGGCTATTGACATCATTCTCCATTCCCTTCACAAAGGCTATGACCAGTTCAAGATGAACTACAACATGCATAGCATGAAGAAAACCCTCACCGAGCTTCATGGGATGTTGAAGCAAGCTGAGAAGACGCTCAAGGATGAGGGAAGGCATGATATGCTAATGATTAAGAAGGGAAAGCCATTCAAAAGGGCGGGCTAAAAGAAGAAGGGCTTCAAGGGGAAAGGGAAGAAGAGCTTTCCGCCTAAGCCGAAAGCTACCAAAGACAACAAGGAGAAAAAGGTAGCATCTTCTAAGTCTGATTCCGAATGCTTCTATTGTAAGAAGAAAGGACATTGGAAGAGAGACTGCCTCAAATGCAAGGAAGATAAGAAGAACGGAACCGTTGCTTCTACATCAGGTATTTACGTTATAGACTTTAACTTCACTAGCTCGGCTTCATGGGTATTAGATACCGGATGTGGCTCACACCTTTGTTCCGATTCACAGGCACTAAGGAACACTAGGAGGCTAGCGAAGGGAGAGGTCGAGCTCCGGGTAGGAAATGGAGCAAGGATTGGTGCTATATTCGTAGGATCTCTTAGCTTGTCTTTTCCCACGGGGCTAGTTTTGGAACTTGACAATGTTTATTGTGTTCCCAACATTACCAAAAACAACATTTCAATTTCGGCGTTGGACGCCAAAGGTTTTGAATTTCGAGTTAAGGACCAATCATGTTCATTTTATCTCGATAATGTTTTATATGGTACGGCACATTCAGAAAATGGTCTTTATGTGTTATCTCTAGACAAAGAAATTTACAACGTTAATAATCCTGCAAAGAAAGCTAAGACTACACCGTCTAGTCAAACTTACTTGTGGCATTGTCGTCTTGGCCACATTAACATCAAACGCATCAAGAAGCTTCTTCAAGAAGGTATTCTTGACTCATTTGATTTAGAATCCTTTGAGAATTGCGAAGGATGTTTATTAGGCAAGATGATAAAGCAACCATTCTCCAAGTTGGGAGAAAGGGCCGGTGACTTGTTGGGACTAATACACACCGATGTATGTGGGCCAATGAGTACACCCGCAAGGAGTGGTTATCGGTATTTCATAACCTTCACGGACGACAATAGTAGATATGGTTATGTCTATCTAATGTCGCACAAATCTGAATCGTTTGATAAATTCATGGAATTTCAGAACGAAGTTGAAAACCAACTCGGCAAGAAAATCAAAGCGCTTTGATCGGATCGAGGTGGCGAATATTTGAGCCAAGAATTCGATGACCATCTGAAAGAACATGTAATACTTTCAGAGTTGACACCTCCGGGAACTCCTCAATGGAATGGAGTATCTGAAAGGAGGAATCGAACCCTGTTAGACATGGTCTGATCGACTATGGGTCTTAGTGAACTTCCAATCTCTTTCTGGGGACATGCACTTTTAACTGCGGCACTTACACTGAATCGTGCTCCGTCAAAGGCAGTGGAAAAGACTCCATATGAATTATGGACAAATAAACCTCCAAGGTTGTCTTTTCTCAAGATTTGGGGATGCGAAGCATATGTCAAGAAACTCATTTCTGACAAACTTCATCCGAAATCTGACAAGGTTTACTTTGTGGGTTATCCAAAAGAAACCAAAGGGTATTACTTCTACAACAAATCCGAGAACAAAGTGTTTGTTGCTCGTGATGGTGTCTTTTTGGAGAAGGAGCATCTCTCCAAAATGACAAGTGGGAGGAAAATCGAACTCGACGAAGTAATTATGTGAAAAATTGAGCCAACTATTAATCACCAATTACTACCAAGTAATTATGCTCAAAAGTGGTCTAAAATTGCGAAAGCATAAAGGAAAGAACCAAATGCATAATCACAATTGATATGCCATTAAGATTCAAGGTACCCAACTTGTACATTATGAATCATATTAATTAATCGAGCATATTTATGACTCGACCAATTATAACTTAACTTGTTCTAATTCGTTACCTATTCAACCTAATTTGTTTAACTCATAACTCAATTTTTATTTGATCTGATTTGAATTTGTGTGTGAGTCACAACCAAAGTCATTTGATTTGAATTCGTGTATGAGTCATAAGACTCATAACCTAAGTCATCTGATATGAATTTGTGTGTGAGTATAACTATATGAGTCATAACTTGTTATACGTACAATATGACTTAATAAACCCAATTATTTATAACCTGGCTTAATTTTATCCTCACTCACTTGATTTGTTTTAACCACTATTAAATCAACCCAGCTTGTTTTATGACCCTTATCAATTAATTGTGACTTTGTGAGTTAGGATTTTACCCAATTTGTTTTAAACCAAAACTCGTTTTTAAATCGAATGAATTCAACTCGAACCGATTATGACCCGACCCGATTAGGACCCAATATGTTTTGACCCGAAACCCGCTTTAAACTGGCAAACCCCGTTTTCAAACTGACCAGTTCAACCCGAGCCGATTATGACCTAAATCGATTACAACCCAACCCGATTAGGATGCGATCTGTTTTGACCCAAAACTCGCTTAAAACTGACAAAATCCGTTTTCAAACTGTTGAGTTCAACCCGAAACAATTATGACCCGAACCAATTACAAATCAATCCGATTAGAACCCGACCCGAATAGGAAGTGTAATTAAAAAACCCCAAACCGAACTGATCGATGTTTTTTTTTAAAATCGACCTGAACCGACCCGATGTTTTTTAAAACTGACCTGAACCGACCCACTAATTTATTAAACCCGTTATAAATGACCTGTTACAAACCGAAAACCGATAAACCAAACCCAAAACCTAATTGTAAACCCGATTGACACCTCTAGTATTATATCATGTGAGGTCCAATTTTCTTAAATACCATGATAAAATGTGTGTGCAACTATAAAGAAACGGAGGAAGTACAATTTTTTATTTCAAAATAACCTTTTCATATTCACAAAACGAGGCACCGTTACATTTAAAAATATAATGCGATATAGAAAGTCCTGCTTGTTTTGTGTGCGGCAGGCCATACCGTGTGACTACTTAAAGTAACCTATATAACATTGATTAAGTAACCCCTATTATACCGATCGAGTAACCCATATAACACTGACCGAGTGATTCTATAACAATGACGAAGTAACCCCTTTAATACTGATCAAGTAACCCTCATTACACTAGTGAAGTAACTTGTATAGCGGTTGGCTGCACGGTGTGGCTAGCCACATACGAAGTATAAGACTTTGCGTAAAAAGTCAGCCTTTTCCTTTAGTTTTTTTTAAATTTTTTTTTTTTTTTTTTTTTTTTTTTTTTTTTTTTTTTTTTGAAGATGGGTAAATTGCATAGTTGCACTACTACCCTCCTATTTGCTTTCTTAGCCCATGTATGGACTTTCTCCGTCCATGACTATAATTTTGAAGTGAAAAATCAAAGATGTTGCAGATACAACCCAGACGACGATGAACACATACTCCATAGTAGCAGCAACATTGCTGCTGCTTCTCTCATCACTTCATCCAACTTCATCCGACATTGTTGACTCAGAAGATGAGATCCAAGAGATTGACCATGAGCGATCTATCATTTCTTCTTCTTCCGGTTATTATTTTGATCATGCTTCTTCTGTTGTTCGTCGATCGTTAGACCCACGATCCGTTGATGATATTAATTGGTGGAGCGATTATGCGAGGCCATTTGATGGTGGGTTGGCTTATGATATTCAGGGAACCATGGTTAGTTCTGTATCAATTTCTTAATTTATTTATTTGTATGAATGATTTTTTCATCATTTGTTGATTTTATCAATCTTGCTATAACTTAAGAAATTGGGTTTTTCAATTGTTTGTTTGTGTATTTGTATTGATGGTGGCTTTGCTTATGATACTCATGCAAGCATGGTTAGTTCTGTATCAATTTATTAATTTATATGTATATTTTCTTCATAATTGGTATTTTATCATTCTTGCTAAATATTAAGAAATTAGGGTTATTCATTTATTTGGTTGTGTATTTGTATTGATGGTAAAAAGGCCTGTAACTTGGCAATTTCACAAAATTATCCAATATGAGTTGATCAATTATCTTTTGTCATTCTTCTGAGTTCTCGAAAGTCAACATCAATATTTGTCAAGTATGTTTGGCTGTGTGGGGGCAGTGGACGATATTTTAGGCTTAGTGTAGAAATTTGTGAATTCAAAAGTGGGATTTTGAAGAGAATTTGTTTTGGCAGGGTGGTCATCTTTGTTTTCCATCATCTCGGTGCTTTGGTTCGAGAAAATTGGCGAAATTTTGGTAGTATGGAGTCTTATTGGGTTATTTTTATGGAAGTGAGTCAACACTTAGACTATGGACAAGGGTGCAAAGTGTGTTCATTATGCGCCGAAAGAATAGAGTTTTACTTGTAAAAGAAGTTGCCATTGTGAAAAAAAGAATGAGCTCGTGTCCATGAGCTGATTTGCAGAAGTATTCATGGGGCACTCCCGAATATGTCCTTCTTTGATGTACTGTGAGATTAGAAAGTTCTGAATGTTTTTCCTTGGCTTTGATTTCCAGTGGACTTGGGCCTTCTCTTGTATCTTTTCTTTTGCTGCAACTTGAAATTGGTTTGTCTGATAAGAAAAAGTTTATCCTCATAGACAAGGGAATATGGATTTGATTGGAAATTTGAGCATAAACCAAACTAGAACTAGCTCAATCTAGCATAGAGCGAGGCCTATACAACAAACCTTCCAGTGATTGTCACTTAGTATTACCTATGCCACTTGAATTGTGTATTGATTGTATAGGTCCTAGTCTAAGAGATTGATATGGTAATTTGAAAAGTTATAAGGCATGGGGCCATCGTCAAAATTTTGGTCAAGAGGAAAAATTATGATAAGAATATGTATGCCCACAAATAAGTTTAGTAAATGAAGAGGAAAAGAGATGACAAAAATATGTGATATATGCTCACAAATGAGTTTAAGTTTATAGTTTTGAAGAGAAATATAAACAAATCAACCTGAATACCTGATGCTTGTCTTTGTGCATTTGTTATCTAAAAAGCATCCAAATAGATACAAAAGTATTTCACTAACTCCTTGTTCTTTCGCAATTGTAGAAGTACTTTGATTGAGGGAGATGGTGATAAGCCTAGAATATGTCATTAATTATACCGCCCTATCAAATTACCTAATTACCAAATTACAAATACATTGGCAAGTAGGGTTATATCACCACACAACCAATTCGAATTATAAAGAGTCATTGTGCGTTTTTTTTAAAAAATTTATTAGAGCTATTAATGTCTACTAAACACACACACACACACAAACACCCAAAAAAAAAAAAAACACTAATTAGACCGAGGAGAATATCAAGTGATAAAAATACTACGGGAAGGAAATCTAGGAAATAGTGATAAGTTCAAACAATCAATTGTGCTTAAATGATATGGGCTTAATTAGGGGAACTAACATATTAAAATCAATTCTAAGCATACAATCACGAAAATACTCCAACTAGATTAATTTACTGCCCTACAGTCAACCTAGCCTAAACCTAGATGAATTACTACTTTAAATCAAGTCGCTCTTGTGCGAAGAGCATATCATATCAAATCATTGATTTGCTAGAATGACCCTAAACACCTATGACAATCACCCACATTCACAAATTGACCAATCAATCATAGATTAGGCTTAATAAATCAATTAAGTTGATCACCATTACCTTCATTCCCCTACCCTAAAACAGGAAGTAAAGACATGAGAAGCATGGAGACACTAATCACTAACATAGTAAGGCTAAGCATGAGTAACAAAAATGATTAAGATTTAAACAAAGATTAATAAGTAATTAAAATAAGCAAACACAAAATAAACATAAATCTTTATTTTAGAGAAAGCAAGTAAATGAGAGAAGGAAAGAAGAATTACTCAACAAATGAAGAACTTGGATTGAAATGCTTGATATCATGAAGGTTTAACAATGGAAATTTGCTTTCTATCTACTTCTCTCTAAAACCTAAGCTAATCTCTGATTTGTGATCTTGAGTTTGATAAAAAGCCGTAATTACATGATTTAAAAGAATAAATACTCCCCTTGAAATCCCCTAAAAGTCAACTTAAAAGAGTTTTAATTCGGGTGATTGATACCCAAGGATTGGAGAGGTCGCTCCTTAGACTAGAGTAGTCAATCCGGAGTGGTCTTCGGTGTCGCTGATCCATAATCTCCAGTCAACTTAAGCATTCACTCCTTTGAAATGAGTGGTCACTCCACATTGCGAATTGGTTGCTACAAAACATTCACTTGTCCTAATTGCTAATTGGCAAGATTTTTGGAGGTGGCTTCAAAAGATTCAATTGAGCAATCTTCTACAACAATCACTCCTAATGCTAAACTGACTCCTCTTAGCCTTCTGATTTTGCTCCTTCTTCAATTCTTCATTCACTTTTAAGGAATTCGGGCTTCAAGCGACGTTCCTCGATCATGATGATGAGGTTCCCGAGCATCCTAAGAGAAGGTTTCATGCAAACTCTTCAACAAATGGGAAGGGGATCAATATAAGAGGGAAAATGGACATAAAACATCTAAAATCATGAAATTCTAACTTAAGTACTACCAAATGAAGAGAGTAAGGTCCAAAGGCCAAATCTTCAAGAAAAGGGGACGATTATGCGAGATAAAGGGCTAAATTATGGGGTTAATGAATCATATAAGTGGCCTAAAAGACCACTTATATGAGAGACATATGGAGAGGGATATAGGAAGAGAGAAAGGCAAGGTGGATCCAGGATTACAAATTTAGGGGACCAAAACTATTACAGAGTCACATTAACAAACAAATTGACCAAATAAATTGAGCTTAATTAACGATTGAGTTAATTATTGCATATTGAGTTGATCCCCCTTTAAGATAGAAGCATCACACAAATTTGCTAATTGAAATTGAGTTTGACATTGACAAATATACTATTTACTACCTCCGATTTTTTTTAGTTGCAACTTTGGGGTATTATTTGAGAGATATAAAATATTCAAAAGTTGTAACTAAAAAAAATCGGAGGTAGTATATTGCAATTCATTAAAATCTTTATCATTTAATGTTTAGTGTTTGTTTTACAAATAAAGGGGATAAGGAGGGAGAGGAGAGTGGGAGGGGAAGAGAGCACTTTCTCATTCTATTATTATTTTTTTTCCTAAACATAGAATAGCTTTGATGAATATTTTTCCGATGTTTTCTTAATTTTGTAAGTATAATCCCACCTCCTCACCCTGTTCCATATTGATAATAATAGAAAAAAAAAATTACAAAGTATTAACTAAAAGGAAATTATTGTTACCATGTTTCCTATTTTGTTTTAAAATATAGAATGCAATTTAAATGAGTGGCAATATCTTCTTGCAGCCTTTTAGGGTTAGCTAATTATTTTGTGAATGATTTGTATTGTTTAAATTATAATTCATCTAACAAACTTGGTAATGAATTGTATGTATTACTTAACATTTACTTTCATTCTTATTCTTTTTTTTTTCTTTTTTAATTTTTAAATTTTTTTATAGCGTCACTCCTTAAATTGCTGTCCATGTCATTTTCATATATATTTTTCTTCTTTTGTTTTTGTTTTGTTGATTAGAAGGAAATCATTGTTTGACTAGGTTGCATTTGGTTCAGATGATGTGCCTGCAGATGAGGAGTTGAGAAGGGAGTTGATTAAAGCAAATGGCATTGAAGATGCTCTTTTATTAAAACTAGGGTCCAAGTCTTCGCCCCTAAGGGATGGTTGGGGAGGTTGGTTTGATGCAAAGAGCGACTTTTTGAGGAAAGATAAGATGTTTAAGTCCAGGTTGGAAGTGTTAAATACAATGAGCAATCCACTTCTTCAGGATCCAGATGGGTTTGGAGTTACTGGATTTACAAGAGGAGATAAGATTGTGAAAAAAGGGTTGTTTCAGGAGATAAAGAAAGCTCCCATACTTATAAAGAAGTCCTTTGGATTTTCAGATGTTAGGTCCGATGAGGCTATTGACTATCAGGCCAAGGAACGTAGTAGTATGAATCGTGAAAGTTTGGACGGAGGTATTAAAGGAGAGAGATTGGGTGTTGAAAAAAATCTTGAAGCAAGGAAATATGAATTTAGAACTCTGGGTTATAATGAAATTGGGTTAGGTGATCATGCTATGAAAGGAGTATATGACCGATCCTTGAGAAAAAATGCAGAAGATTATGATTCTTCTTTGGGTAAAGATGGTGAAGGAGAAGCCCATAAAGCTGCAACACATAATGAGATTGAGTCTTCAGGCTCCATGTTTTCTGGTGGCAGAAGATGGGGATATTTTCCCGTACTGCATCCAAATCTATCCTTTTCAAATTTTATGGATTCCTTTTTCAGAAAATCTAAGTGTTCTATCAGGGTGTTTATGGTGTGGAATTCGCCCCCTTGGATGTATACTGTAAGACACCAGAGAGGCCTTGAAAGTGTGCTTTTTCACCATCCAGATGCCTGTATTGTTGTATTTTCAGAGACAATTGAACTTGATTTCTTCAAAGAGTTTCTGAAAGATGGGTATGTTTACAAAGTATCGTTCTATTTTTATATTCCGTAGTAGATCGTTCTATACCAATATTATGACGAATGATAAATGGTCATAGATCTTCTGAACTTGATTAACCCAAACCCATGGCTAGAAACCTTTTGGTCTATCGTCACCCTATTTCCCTTCTCATGTTTTATGGAAAATCTTTGATGAAACATTTTCCCTGATTGTGGTTTTCCCTAAACATGAGCATCTAGTTTGATAAGCTCTATTAATTCTGCTATTGAGATTCACAACAAAATGCACGAGTATTGGTATGATGCAACATCCTAGAAAATTCAAAAGTATTACCTTAATTGCAAAAAAAAAAAAAAAAAAAAAAAAGCGCTATCCTTTAATATATGAAAATAAAGCTATTTGTTATTTTAGAAAATACTTTCATAAAGTTGACTTTTGATAATAGACTACATAGTGATAAAATCTCATGGTTTAAATTGGCAATTTTTTGTTCTTTAAATGTTAAATATGTCTTGATACCTTGAAAACTTCTATGGTATACTTTTTTTTGAATATTAATTGGAGGAAATCACTATGGTATTGTGCATAAATTACCATCCTTTGGATGAATGGGTTTCATCCATGAAAGGTATATGAAAGGATCTTCTAAAGCAATCTGGTTGGTAGTTTATGTGGTATTGAGTTTTCCTAGCTTCTATTTATGTTCATAACTGGTTTGATGATGTCCAATTTAATCGTCACTCTATATTCTTTCATTAGTACTTTCATATGACTCTCTATGTTGATCCACCTATCTTTTACTCCCTCCGTTTTTAAATACTTGCTTCACTTTCCTTTTCCGGCCGTTTTTAAATACTTGCTCCATTTCCTCTTTTGAAAGCTTTTACAATATTTAATTCATTTCTCACACTTAGTGGATCCAACGTAATACTCTCTCTCCTCCTATTCTTCCACTTCTTTTGCTTTTTACAATTTTTTATTTTCTCAACTACCCCACTACCTCCATATTTTATTACTTTCTCCAATTTCTCCTAAAACTCCGCGCATGGAGAAATGGAGCAAGTATTTAAAAATGGAGGGGTTATCACTTTATTATACTAATCAATAAAAAAAAGTATTCCAATTTATTTATTTTATTTTATTTTATTTTATTTTTAATTTTTTTGAAACCCAAAAAGGTATTGTTTTCAATCCCATGTCCTCTATATATGCTCTTGGTACATCATAAAATTAGCTTGTGTTAAATCAAGGTTTGAAGGTGAGAACACTTCATAAGAACCTCCAACCTTTCTCCTTAGCCGACAACCAGGTCTTGCATATTCAGTATGGTATTGTTGGTCTATACTTGCTCTTGGTTAATGTATCAAATTATTGCTTTTGTGTTTTTACGGTGTATTTTGAGTATTTTTGTTCTCTATCTGTTTATTATTGTTAATCCTTTGACTAAATGATTTCATTTTGAAAGTAGTTTCAAAATCGCGGTAACTATGCCAAACTTGGAAGAACTTCTGAAAGATACACCTACAAGCATATTTACTTCTGTCTGGCATGAATGGAGGACTACAAAATTTTATTCTACTCATTACAGTGAACTCATTCGACTTGCTGCACTGTACAAGTAAGCTATATTACTTTAATGTTTATATCTTTGTTATCTTTCTTTCTTTTTTTTTTTTAAATTTTTTTTTAATTCGTTTTACTCATAATAGAGCTCCACTCATTTTGTTTTTAGAGAAGCCTGTTCTTAATAGTCCTGACTTAATGAAAACTAGTGTTATGGCTGTGATGATGGTAAGAAAGTCTATCGTTTAGCTAGAATAACCAAACTGTAACCCCCTGAAAGTAGTGAAAGCTAAGGTTGATCTCAACCAGAATTTGATTTATCAAATTACATCTTATGTAAGTTAGAAACCTCTATTTTATGTAGCTGCTAACTATTTTACCTAATATTTTAATACTTTAAGATAAAACTAAGAAACTAAGTAATCTATTGGAATAAGGATCGAGAAGTATTGTAGCATTACAATATCAATTGATCATCGCACTAAACATGTGATGCTTACACCTTAATGTTACCCAATGAACATAAACTAGTGTTGGAAATTTCCGTTTCCTGCAATGAACCAACTAACCTCTTGGAATATCGCCTACCTAACTAATAATTTAAAACAAGCTTTTTAGACTCAGCAACATTTATATTATGAACTAGTTAACTTAAGCGACAATCTCACAAGTCACAAGTTCAGATTGTGCAGGTTAAAGGTTTAATTATTAGGAAGTAGTTTGAGGGGTTTGTTTTCACCCTTTCTAGAAGGTAGGAAATATAATCCTGATGCATGCCGATGGTTCTTATGTTTTGGTGTTTTGGTCTGTATATTTTTCTCTCATTTTGGCAATAAAATTTTCTTTATTTGTCCCAAAAAAAAATTCTCAAGTATTTGGACAAGTTAGTCATTAATTTAACACTTAAGCACTACCAATGAAAATTACATATTACTAGTCAATACCTTAGCAGTTGCAGAAATAAAAGAATTTACGAGAGTATAATCATACTTGGTAGGATGAAATCAATGAATTAAATAAATGCAAACTACTAAAGGTCACAAATTGGGACAAAGTTGTCTCAATATAATGTGTCACATGATATGGAGGGTAAGAGTAAAGATGTTTATGGAGGACCCCAAATGACTTGAACCTCATACTTTCATAGGGTATGGTATTGTCACATTTAAAGCCACAAGTAAATAAAAGTGATTATATGTGACTGAATTATGGACATGAGGAAAGGTCAAAAGGAGTTAGGATTGGATTTTAGGTAGAACAATGGCAAGGAAACATCCAATCTTCACTGTTAGTTTGCATCATTCTCACCTTTCTAAGTTACATACTGTCTAACTATTGGATTCTTTCCTTTTTTTTTACATGGGTTTTCCTGTTAGGGAAACCATAGTATAGAGCAGGAAATATTACAATTGCTAGTTGTGATGGTGGACTTGCTGTTTAGTGAGTTACTTAGATTAGAGAGTGGTCTAGAAGTCTTTGGTAAATTTCCGTCCTGTAAAATTTTTTTCGCTGTCTTTATATCCTTTGATATTGGTAGTCTAGTGTCTTATTTTAATGTTAGAGGTCCCACAAAAGGGGAAAGGTTAGTTGGTTGGTTGTTCCAAGAATCTTAACAATTACGGCATACTGGATAATTAATGGCCCAATGTGTGCTTTTGAATGGTTTTGACCTGATAACTGTTTGAGTTTTGTTGGGTGCAACGGATGTTCTGGTGGTGTATAAGATCCTTGCTCTCTTTTGGAAGGTAAAAAATAGTTGAAATTTTATTTGCTGGTTTGATTTTCAGTATCGTTTAGGTGATTATTAGAGTAAGCCTTTTCAGGGCCGTCTTAAACATGTTCGAGGCCCTAATCTACAATGGGCCCTAATCTTTTAATTTTAAAACAAATTGAGAGAAAAAGTAATTTTAATAATAATTAAAAGGAAAAATTGACTAGAATAATCCCAACTTTGCCTCATTCTCCCAAAATAATCACAACTTTCGATTATTTTTTAATAATCCCAACTTTAAACTCCATTAATTTTAAACAGTCCCTAGTGACCTGAAACCGGCTAAACAGGTAAACATTTGTGACTTGGGATTATTTGCACACGTGTCACTACGTGACTGGTATAAAAATAAATTAAAAAAAAAACCAAAAAAAAAGAGAAAAAAATTGAAACAAAAAATCGGCAGCCCAGCCAGTCAGCCACCATTTCCGCCAGCCGCAGCCACCCCTCCCCCACCAACTAACCCCAACCCCGTCGAACCCCACCATCCCGGCGACCTTACCCACAATAACCCTGGCCACCAGCCGCTTAAAACCTGCAGCACTTTCATCTTGATCTGGATTGAAATTCGAATAACGAATTATGTGGCTGGTTATTAAGGCCATTCTCGACCCTTGAACTATTTTGCTGATAACTGAGGCAATCCCATTCTTGACTCAATTTGCTGCTCCTCATTCATCTCTTTTCCTATGCAAGTTTTCTTGTTCGGTTTTGATGCGAATCGAAGGTACAATATTCACTGCAATTACATAGAACTTCATTGTCTATTTTAACCGGATTTGAGGAGGAGAAAGGAGGGGATGGCCAAAATCAGGGAGGGAAAGTGAGGGGTGGCCGGAATCAGGGCAGTTAACGCTGATGGTGGCTGAAAGCGAGGAAGGGAATGGTGAAGCTTCTGCCTGCCGGAAAAGGGAGGATAGCCGCTGCCGAAGGTAGCAGGGGCTGCCGTTATTTTTTTTATATAAAGGAAAAATTGCTCCCATTAATCTGAACTTTGCCTCGTCCGGCGAAAATAATCCCAACTTTCGTTTATTATCTATTGCACCCAACTTTGGGGGGTATTAATTTTCGTTGCACCCAATAGGTCATCTAACCTGTGTCAGCGTATGATTGACTTAATTTTATTTATTTTTTTTATTTAAAAAAAAAAAAAAAAAACAAAAAACAAAATAAAAACCCCACAAATCACCCATACCCAGCGGCTGCCACCACACCCCCAGCCCCACCCCGCTGGGAAATCACCCCCACCCCCGAAAAACCCCTCCCCTGCTGCCAGAAACCACCGCCCAGCTTTCCCCCTCCCTCGAAACCCACCCCTTCCCTTCCCCCACCCCCGAAAACCCCTCCCCCACCCCCGAAATCCCCTCCCCCACCCACGAAAACCCCCTCCCCTGCTGCCGGAAACCACCGCCCAGTTTTCCCCCTCCCTCGAAACCCACCCCTTCCCTTCCCCCACCCCCGAAAACCCCTCCCCCTCCCCCACCCCCGAAATCCCCTCCCCCACCCACGAAAACCCCTCCCCCACCCACGAAAACCCCTCCTCCACCCCTTTTCTTCCCCCACCATAGTTTCCCAAATCACGAGCAAGGAGGCCACGAAATTGGCCGAAAATGGCAGAAATTGGCCGATTTAGGGCTAACTCCAACCATTCAGCCCGAAATCGGCCAATTTCGGCTGTTTTCACCCATTTCTATGGCCGTTTTCAGGGAGAAATGGGGGTGCGTTTCTGGTGGTTTTTGGACGTTTCTGGGGTGGTTCCGGCGTCGAGGTGGGCCAGGGGTTGCGACGCTGAGGTGGGCCAGGGGTTCCGGCGTGGAGGTTGGGGCTGAGAGAAGCTAAGGGAGGTGGCGATGGTGGACGGTGGCTGAGAAAAGCTAAAGGGGAGGTGGCTGTTGGGTTTTTTTTTTTTTTAATTATGTTATTAATTTTTTTTTCTATTTTTTTCAACCAATTACATGCTGACACGTGTGCAAAAAAAAATAAATCAGAAATGTTTACCTGATTTACCGGTTGCAGGTCATTTGGGTGCAATAGAAATTAATACCCCCTAAAGTTGGGTGCAATAGATAATAAACGAAAGTTGGGATTATTTTCGGCGGACGAGGCAAAGTTCAGATTAATGGGAGCAATTTTTCCTTATATAAATTTTTTTAGCTCAATCCTAAGTTTGACACGTGTCCCATGACTTGTTATAACAAGTTGGGTGACTAACTGGGACCATTGGAAGCAAATTGATATCAAAGTTCGGATTATTAAAAAATAATGGAAAGTTGGTATTATTTTGAGCGAATGAGGCAAAGTTGGGATTATTCTAGTCAATTTTTCCTACTTAAAAATCTTTTTTCACCATAATATCAAAAAAAAAAAAAATCTTTACATATAATGTCGTTAGGATTTCCAGCGGTTGAACATGGAAGTGTCCATTAATCCTCACCAACAATTAAAATATACTCCATATCAATATTTCAGATCAAACAACAATATAAGTTTGATGGTTCAGATTTTAAGTGGCAAATCAAGCTACGTAATAATTTTTTTCCCTCAACAACAAATTATTCAATCAATATTTTTTGTATGAAATGATTGAAAATTTGGCAGGAGTATATATTTTTGATGTAAAATTTTAAGTGTTGAAATGTGGAAAAAAGGGATTTAAATTGCTCCATGCATTGACAATTATGATGTAAATTTACAGAAAATAAAAGAAAGATTATGGAAGGTTCAGATTTTTTGTGGCAATTGCAGCAATCAGAGAGTAATTAGAGGGGTTTTTTTATTGGGAAATTAAAGGAAGTTAAAGAATTAGAATATGGATAATTAAATCTTTTTGTTAAAAACCAAGAAGTTGATTAGAGATTTGTTTTTACGAGTAAACTAGGAGCTGTTACTTTTTTTTGAGGAAAGTGCCGTGATTTCTTGAATTCCATTAATGATTTAATGCAACTATGCAAGAGAGGAAGTGCCGTGAGTATCGAATTTAACACTTATAATAAAATAAAATAAAAATAAATAAATAAATAAATTGGGCCCCTTTGGTTTTGGGGCCCTGTGCAGCAGGTCTGCTTGCAGAGGCCCAAAATTGGCCCTGAGCCTTTTGGGTTTCACTTTTGTGATATTTGGAGGATCTTTCATGGATTGTTGTAAGATGGTGTAATATTTGAGTGATTCCTTAAGACTGTAGGTCCACTCTGGCATATGCTTTTTGCCTGTTAGAAGTAAAGGATTCTTGAGCCAAGCAATCTCTTGAAAAGCTTGCTTTTCTAAAGTCCAAACCCAACTTTATT